CACTATGTATTGACAGTAATGAATCACTAGTAAACAGATCATACCACATTGTGAAAGTTCCACTATGTATTGACAGTAAGGGATCAGTAGTAAACACGATCATACCACATTGTGAAAGTTCCACTATGTATTGACAGTAGTGGATCAGTAGTAAACACGATCATACCACATTGTGAAAGTTCCACTATGTATTGACAGTAGTGGATCAGTAGTAAACAGGATCATATCACATTGTAAAAGTTCCACTATGTATTGACAGTAGTGGATCAGTAGTAAACACGATCATACCACATTGTGAAAGTTCCACTACATATTGAATCAATGTGTTACGGCCCATGGATCGTTAGTATACAGGATCATACTACATTGTGAAAGTTCCAGGGAACGTTCGCTGAACGTCGTCTTATTTATGAAACACAAAAACAGTGAATAATGAAAAATACACAACCGAAAAAAGCGTCAGTCACCAGTAGAATAATACATATTTATTACAAATGTGCAGTGTAAACACACTCAAACAAGTCTTACCGAAAGACAACAAACAAAACAAAAGTTTTTGTATAATCCACGTTACGTTATCATTTTATTACAAACTTGTTTAGTTGGTCTTGTTGCAACAAATTTTGCTACAAAAGATTCTATAACAAATATGTTTCTTTAATTTAATACCTAAATGGTGTTAAAAACTAATATTAGTGCTTTATTTGTTTGTTTAGTGTTAAGCACAAACATATATACACAATGGGCTGTCTGTACTCTGCCTACTGCGGGTATCGATACCCGATGTTTAGAGTTATAAGCCTTCATCATTACCGCTGAGCCATCGGATGGCAGTGCACTTACGTGTTTTCGCAAAGACATTGTGTAAACAAAGTGACAAAACTTAACTAAATGTATTTTATTCATTTCCTTGTCAAGAGTACCCTAAAGGAGAAAAAAAACACACAAAACAATTAATCTTATAAATAACAAGTAATATCATCGAAGAATGTCACTTAGGGGCAGGGGTAATACTTACATAGTGAATATATGTTCTAGACCGGCTTAGCTCTACACCAAGTATTCCTTCAACTGTTTCATCTAATACTTTCTTTAAAGCATATTTTTCGTACTTATACAGTCTTGGCCAAAATGTTTGCATACTGTTCTATATTGATGTTATTATCTAAATGCATGGAGTAGTTGTTGAGTAAATGTTCGAGTAATAACAGAGAAAGTAACATATGACCGGATAAACATATACTAGATGTTATTCCGGTCTGTATAAGTTGTTTTGATCATTTGGTCTTCGAAACACACATACACACCTGCTTTGTATAAAAAGGTGCGTTTTTGGTATAATCATTTACGAAACATATGAACGCTTTCGCTTTGTTCAGACAATTTCTCTGTACTTGGTGTAGAGTCACGCCTCGTCACGTGCCAGGAGATATGGGGCGTCAAACTGTTTGACTGCCCAAAAATGGTATGAAGCAAATGGATATTGTCAGAATAGTAAGGTACTCCCAGTGTACTGTATTCAGAATCCTGAAACGTCATTGAACTACAGGAAACGTTATTCCAGGAAAATTACTGCCCGAGGGCTATCTGCAAACCGATATTAACCAGGCAAGATAGCATGCCAACTTACAGTTAGGACACTGGCGACATGTCATCTTTTCAGATGAGCCCTGCTTCCGGCTTATTAGCGCTGATAGCAGGATTCTTTTCGTCGTTTGCCTGGAGAACAGATGAGGGAAGGCTGTCTTTCCCACAGGAGGTGGTGGAAAAAAGTGTTCTTCATATCCTCCAAGGAAACGTCAAAGGCGCCTCCTACAATGGAGACGATATTTCTGCCATATGTTAGGGCAAAGTTTGGCAATAACTTTGTGTTCCAGGATGACAATGGCGCGCCCACAATGCGCGTATTGTACAGGATTTTCTCGATCAGGAAAATGTTACAAGACTACCATGGCCAGCAAAGTATCCAGATTATAATCACATTGAAAGCTGTTGAGACGAACTGAGCCGGAAAATTGCTAACCACGACCCTAAACTAGCTACCGTAGCTGAGTTGCAGCGCCTTCTAGTGACAAGTTGGGATGAAATCACGGTGGATTACATCAATAACCCCATCGACAACATGTCACGTCGCTTTGTAGAGGTTACCACAGTACAAGGAGGATCAACCACGTACTGAATGTTTAATATGAACTAATGTAAGGTTACAGATGCTATTTGTAATAATCTGATGTTATATTTTGTCATTATGTTTTGTTGTAATAGGTGAAATGCTGAATTACACATCTTTCTACAGGTGTCTGATTAATTGTTTGCTGTTCTAATAAATCGTTCATGATGTCCATAGAACCTGCCTCATTATACAATTTACATATGGAGATGTTTAATAGAACATGCATTTATCAGTTTGACAGCGCTAAGTGTATTTGTATTCTATTTTAACAATAATGGTCTTATACGTTACAAAATATTCAAAACTTTTGGCCAAGACTGTAGTTTATATATGTATCTATAAAATATTTAATTAATAAGAACAATCTTCACGATTTCTCTGCGTAGTGATGTAGTGTGAAATGTTTGTAATTATTTACTATTTTGTGCCTTTTCACTTCTTTTTCGTGCCCAGTTTTTTAAGTTAAAAACACCAGCAGATTTTCATAGACACATATTCACACAGGATGAGTTAGGCTTAGCTCTGTTGTTGTAGCACGTCTCATTCCTCCTCTTTTTGTGTGCTGAAAGAATATATAGAGAGAAAACAACCATTATATTTTTATGAAAGTTATATTAACAAAAAGTTTTATACTTTACAAAATACTTTTCTTAATACAAAGAAGCCTTCAAATTTATCAGACTTGTTATTTTCAACAGCAGTGAATATATGATTTATATAAACTTCTATTCTATACGTTGTCATAAAAATGTAATCATTCAATTGTAATGTTCTATTTTATGTTCATGTATTAAAATCTTAAGCATTAGCGTTAGGGTTATTTCAAAACGATCGGAATCTGTAATGAAAGGCTACAAACCGAAGTTCTAGAAAAATAATGTAGAATTTCGTTATTTTTCTAGAGGGCCAGACTGACTGCAAATTAATAAATAAATCACTCCGAGTTTGAGGCCTTGTGTGCGTAATAAGAGTCAGGATCAAATCTCAATATTCGATTAGAGTAGTCCACAAGTTGGCGGTGTTGACTAGTTGCCTTCCCTCTAGATTATAATTTTAAAATTAGGAAAGGCTCAGACAGAAAGTCCTCGGGTAGCTTTGAGCAAAATTCAACAAACAACAACAACAACAACATGTGGGAGGAAGGTCCAACAAAATTAGGCCTAAAAATTTGATACAACGGATGAGTTGTGTAGCTACTCAATTGCAAGAATGCGTTGTTGTTGAACCAAAACAGCCACACAATAAAACTATATTTTATTTTGTAGTACTTCGATTATTAAGCAGGATTAAAATGCTTTGTAGTTCGATCTGAGCCAAGCAAAACCCGAAAAATCTTTAATTTTTTTGTTTTTGGCAGTTTTCAAAGAGCCATAATGTGTTGTGGTCAGTTATTTGTCTTGCCCAGTGACCAATTTGGCCGTTTGGTCTAACACATGAGTGAATAAGAAAAGTTATTTCAAAACCGAGGAAACAATGGGAAAGTGAGCTTATGCTCGTTCATTTGCCTACGTGGTTTATAATGATTTCATAAGAAACTATCTTATTACCCTCTCATGCCGATGATTACTGAAACGTCATATATGGTGGATTTCTACAATACCTAAATTAGTATCATGTAAAAACGTCAACAACTGTTGTTGTTTTTTTGTTTTACAATTTACTTACCGTAAAACATTGTCCCAGAGATATAGTGTTATTCATAACGGATTTGGAAACAACTAATCTGCATTCTTTTTTCATCACTAGATGAAACAGACAGATCCATAGGCCCTAGAAGAGGGATAATCATGTATATATATGATATAGAATTTTATCAATAAGGAGGTGAATGTTCTTCAAAGGCGCCAAATACAATCAACAGTGTCTGTTTAACCAATAGGTTTATTGTGTTATAACAACACGTAGGTTCAAGAAATCAATTTAACACAATACTCGGTGTAGTTTCTCTTGACCAATTTTCTTTTTTAAACAATGCATCTCTAACTTCTTTATACCTAACATTCTTGTTTCCGGTAGTATTGCACCGGAAATGAGAAACACTTATAACAATACATTGAAAGCTACTCAAAACACTTCAGGATTTCCAAGATGGCCTGCATGACGTCATTCAAACTTCACTTTAACTCAGTCATTCCCAGTTTGACCCTGAAGAAAAAGGTTCGCTTTTCGAAAGCACTCGAGTTATATAGAGTATCGTACCAACAGGTTTAACATTAGTGATAAAAAAGTGACTTTACACTACAGATTTGTTCGCTACTGATTTCAAATCAGAGCTACAGTGTCAGAACATCGTTTTAAACATATGCCGGTGAAACGCAGACTTGATTAATCGAAATCCAATAGTCTTCTGAAAGACCGTTATAGCTGTCTCTGTATTTGTAGTAAAAACTCAACTAGAGTATTTAAAACAGTAGCTAGCGTATATCAATATTCATCGATGATATACAACTGAAGAATAAAATACAATGTTTAAACAGAACAACAAATATATTAAACAGTTTCTAAAAGTGCTTTTACCACTACATTTACTATGGTAAAACAGAACAACATGTTTAATATTTGGATGTTTAGGAAGTTACACATCCAAACATCAGCGATCTCAACTGTTTTCATACAACACACATATGTAGTATATATATATATATATATTAATAAACTGTACAGGTTTTAATTTGTAGAAAACAATGTATACAAAATATTCAGAGAGAAGAAATCTTAGAAAGTTTAGGAATACAATTTAATAAAATGAACATATGAAAACAAGGATAGCTGAAACGAACTGGGGTTATTATTTAGACTTGGATGTTCGTTTCAGATACATAGACTTTCTTTCTTTCTGAATCCACAACTTATTCATAACTAAAGACGTTTCGCCTACGTTCACGGGTCGTCTAAAAATACACTTGTGGTGACTGTAAAGCTACCTATTTTAGCAAAACAAAACGCAAGTTAAAGATACTGAATTTATAGAAATTTCAAGCAGAACCGGTCATCATCTCCTAAATCCACGCGTTTCCCCCATTTAAACAGCGTGTTTCAAACATATCTGTTGTTTCCCACAAGTGAGTGTCTAGAAGGCTTTTAATTCAGTACCAGAATTTCTCAGAAGTACGAGACGATAAGAAACAAAGGTTTATCTGAAATCACATTTAAATATTCAGTACATAAAACTTGTTAAAGTTAAGTAATCAACGCCAAAACTGTTGAAGTATTTATAGCCAATAGGGCTAACATTTATGATAAAACTCGTGTTGAACGAAAGACATCTCGCACAATGACAAGGGGGAAAGAAACAATGTTTTCATATCCATCTGATTTGAACTCCATATGAGACAGATTTGGTGGGAACTTGAAAAAGAAAAACAACAACAACTGGAGTCTTGCATGGTATTCTGAAATTAAAATAAATGTTACTGGGTTGCAATGTTTCGCTAGCTTTTGACATTCATCGTTTGTTTAAACTCACCAAAACAAAGACACGACTGTGTATGAATGTAAATACGACAGCAAGAAGGCGAAAGTAGCACAACAGAGAATATACAGCAGATATATCTAGCTCGTGTTGATCGCACAACAGGATAAAATAACTATTTGTCAACATGTCGTTGCTCATTCTGAAACTGTGACCTACCTGCAATGAATTTGAAATCGTGAATATGTAGGATATAATAATTCCTTCCGTCTCAAACTGCATGTAACCTATCACCCACGTAATCCCAAACAGAGGAACCAGAATCAACGTCCTACGAACCAGGTTTCTGTGGGGAAGCGTGACGAAAGTTTCATTAATACACTAAGTACGTGAACGAAACTCTCAGAATCGAAACTTCTGTGTTAATCCTTTTAGAGTGACGTACACTTTTTTTCTTGTATCCATTTTACCAAATTACACTCATGTTTTAGCGACCATTACAACTTAGTCTATTTCATTTGCGTCTTGAAAAATTTGAAACCAACCAACTTTAGTCTTGGAAATTTGTTAGTTATTCAACTAACAGTTTAATATTAAATTTCTCCTACCGAGAAAGAAACTGGCTGAAGACACCTTTTAGTGTAGTTTTTTTTTCCGTAAAATAAAATAAAAATGATTTTATTTCTTAAAAACATCGGGATATTTTATACACCTTCTATTTATACAAATGAAAATAGCTAAGGAAAAGATGATATGACACGCGACGTTTCGCCAGTGTTAACCTGGCATCAACAGGTGACAAAAGTACAAGGAAGTTGAAGAATTAAAACTGTAAAGTGCAGAAGCAGAACAATCCTAAATGTGGGTTTCCTCCTCATCTTCTGCACTTTACAGAGCTCTTCCCTTAAGTCCCTGATGACGCCAGGTTAACACTGGCGAAACGTTGCGAGTAGTATTATCTTTTGTTTTCACCACCTAGTACTACCAGTTTTTTTTAAGAACCAGACTTCGATGCCCGTGGTGGGCACACAGAAGCCCATTGTGTTGCTATCTGCTTAACATCAACAAAAATTACCAGTTTTCATTTGTATTATTATTTCTACTGTGCCCATACTGCAAGCTTTAAACACCATCTATGTATTTAAAAATTCCAATTTGAAGGTTTGCTTATATATATTTATTGTTGCCTTCCCAGTGGCTCAGCGACAAGTCTGTGGGCATGTAACGTTAAGAATTGTGTTTCGATACTTGCAGTGAGCACAGCACAGATAGTCTGTATCTCTGTGCTTAATGACAAACAAGCAAGGTATTTTTGTTTGAATTTTGAAGCAAAGGTTATTGTTGCAACTCATTTTGGCAGTTCAAATTTAGAACTTAGTTTACGATTTTCAACCTTAAAAACTTTTGTAGCAATTGAAATTAACGTGTAACAAAACAAACCAGCTTCTGGTTTCTCGTAAACTGATTATAATAGGCTCGTGAGAGGAACAAGGTAAGAAAAATTGTTCTTTAAACGTCTTGAAATCATTTTATTCTTTTCAGGGACCAAAGGGTTGTTTGTTTGTAATTAAGCAGAAAGCTACACAATGGGCTATCTGTGCTCTGTCCACCACGGGTGTCGAAACCCGGTTTGTAGCGTTGTAAGTCCGCAGACATACCGCAGCGGCTGAGACCAAAAGTTCAAGGATTGATGTTACAAAAGTTATTTGGAGGCAACATTACGCGTATTAGCTTTTAGCTGTCAAATGTCACTTTCTAAAGACTTATGAGAAGTAGTTTAACTATTAGAAATAAAGAAACATATGAACCTTACTTTAACAATGAAAAATAACTTTGTGAAAGAGGTTTATCTCGGGTATTAAAAACAGTTTATGCTATAAAACAATATTTATGAACGTTATTTTAGCTTAGAAACACAAATTTATTTCAACTATCGATTTTTTTTGGCTACGAAGCATATATTTATGACAGTAATATCACGTATGAAACTCGATGTAACGAAATGTCATCTTGGCTGTAAAAACAAATAATTAATATTGACATGAAATTGATCACTTTTTTTAATTTTCCCTTTTTTATCACCCAACACAAAAATATTTCAAATTTGTGTCGTAGTTTTAAGTTAGGCCAGTTTTTAGAGAGAAAATTTTAAAAAGGAATTTTTTGAAAATTAGAAAAACTATCCCTCTGGGGAAATTAATTACCTTATTTCTATCAGTTTCGTAGTTCCCTTACGAGAGATCCCGAGCCTGGAGGCAGACCTCAAGGTGAGAACCAATACCACCAAATTCACCTAAATAACACATTTTTCAACAATATATAAAATAGAATGTGAAATTCTGAGACTTAATACCAAATCTTATTTTATGTTGAAGCTATTCGCTATATGCAAAAAAGAAAAAAAAAAAAAAAAAATTTCACACTGAAAAAGGAGTTTAGGGTTCTCTAGTATTCATCTATGTTCTTGTTGTTAGTCCTACGTGTTTTATTTTCGCCCTGTTAAATTATTTCTTATCACATTTAGGCCACGCTGTTCTCATATTCATTATAACTTATAGGTCATGAGTTATTTTACGTCTCGCCCTGTTAAATATTAATTCTCGTATATAGGCTCTGCTGGTCCCATATACTATATCACTTATAGGTCATGAATTATCTTATGTTGGTCATCCTAGCATGCTGTTTTCATGTATATTATCACCTATAGGTCATGAATTATCTTATGATAGTCATCCTGACATGCTGTTCTCATGTATATTATCACTTATAGGTCATGAATTATCTTATGATAGTCATCCTGACATGCTGTTCTCACGTATATTATCACTTATAGGTCATGAATTATCTTATGATAGTCATCCTGACATGCTGTTTTCACGTATATTATCGCTTGTAGGTCATGAATTATCTTATGATAGTCATCCTGACATGCTGTTCTCACGTATATTATCGCTCGTAGGTTAT